TATTCCTTTAAGAGGAAGGTGTGGTTATTCCTAAGGTGGAAAAGTTGTAGACAATCACACATGTCCATAAATTGCTGCGAGTATTACTGCTGGTTTGAGAGTAAAGGAATTTATATAATTAATAATAAGAAAAATTATGGTCAAAAGAGGACACAGAAAACAGAACAGGACGATGAAATGGAGCAGATGGGCAAACAGAGGAATCCAGTACTAAGTAAAAAAAATAGTGAGTATTGGACAAAAAAACAAGTTTAACAGTTAACAGGAAGGTTACTCAACTTTAAGTTAATTTAAGTATGATTAGGGGGAGAAGAGATATGATATTTTCAGAAAATTTCCATTAATCGTTGTCATTTTTCTGACTGAATATACCGACAGGTTTATTTGGTGGAGGGTTTTGTTTCTATTTATTTTTTGGTGAATTTAGTTTAAAAATGGGTGTTTGGTTTAGTTGATTTTAACTAGTCTCTTTTGTGTGTATTTGGTTGATTAATTTATTGTTGTTTGTCAAAAAAATTGTCTTAAAAAAATTCCTTTTCATTCATTCATTTATTCATCGATACTGAGAGAGGGTATGAGTAAAGGCACGAAAACAAAAAGAGCTAATTGAAAGCAGTGAGTTACAGCTAAGGGAAAGAGAGCAGGTGGAGGAGGGAATACTAATTAACCAGATGGACCATGGCAGACAGAAACATAAAGAAACCTAAAGCTGGTGTAGGTGCCAGATCTGCTCGGGGTCCCGCCCCTTCTTATGACATCAACATATGGCAACTTCACTCGGACAAACTGTATTGCACCCGTTTCATAAGGTCCAAAGCTTTTTTGGATTATCAACATACGATTACCTATATTTGCTATTATTTAACATTTCATTGGTGATCTAAAGTAGCTGAGAGTAGAAAACAATCCTTGATAGTCTGAGCACAGCTAGCTACAGCGCTACCCTGCTTCCCCCCTTTATACTATGGTCTAACAGTTACTTTGTTCACCATAAACAGTTTTTTTTTTCAGTTTTATTATCGATCAGGTAAAACTTCATCGGTCATTAGACACGCTAACGGATGCTGCGTGATGTAATTATTGTTGTCTGGGCAACCAGTACATTTAACATTGTAGAAGCAGTTTTATTGTCTTACATCAGATCAGAATCAGAAATCAGAATCAGAATATATCCTTTCACGTGGCCCTATACTTACTTAGCAACAAAACAGTACATGCTGAAAGTCAAGTATGAGTCTTAGCAATAATAAAGTCCCTAATGCCTTATTCGTACGCAATTAGATGATGTATGAGGAGGTTTGGCATAAACAGAGAACATCTGTATAAACATTCCTCCCAGTGTCAAATTGACCGCTGGCGTCGACCAGCCCACGTGAATTTCAGTAAGCTTTCGACATGATATTCCTTTGCATGTGCAGTTACGTAATGCGATGAGGAAATTATAAATGCCGCCTAGAATCGACTGAAGGTTGGGGGAATAACAGAATTTTGACGATGCGTTGCTGGATGTATGAAGTGTTTAAGACAGCTGTATGAATTCGGTTTTGTAATTAAATGTGTCCCCCCTCCGGATGATAAAATGGTGTGAATCGTGGCCTTCTTTCTGTCATAAGGGAATTCTACCAATGAGCTTAAACAACATCATGTGGCAACATTCAGCCAATCACGTAGCGTAACGTCACTGGCATGAAGCAGATCTGGTACCTACACCGGTGTTCTGTCAGATGAGCATACCCCATCAGACCAGCATGCCTATAGTCAATACCCCTTCATCCCTTTAGTTTTGTATGAAAAAAACTATTTAATGACTTACTCTTGTTGTTTTTTTAAGTGAATGGCGATCTGACCTTAAACTGCTTTTTTGTACATGGATAAAGGGATATACGCCCGTTGAGGTAGTTTAAAGTCTATTTTTCATTCGAAACTAAAGGGATAAACGCAAATCGGAGATCTTGCGCATGCGTGTTGACCGGACATACACTGTGCGATATTTTCAATCGTTGCACGCAATTACAGCTCAAACTGTAGGACGAAACCGCAGGATGCACGATGAGGCTGAAAGTCGGCTGGATTAAAAAAAGTCTTGCATGACTGGAGAATCGGCCCGAAAAGGGAAAAAAACAGTGTATACAGTGTACGCCCGGCTTAAGGAATCTAATATGAATTAAACTGGATGAAAACCAATAGAATACAACAGAAGGAACCAAAACGAAAAACATGGTACAAAAACAAGCAATAAATGACCTAAGAAAGCAAAACATAAAGAGCATCATAAAATGCAAAGAAGTACTTAAAATACATAAAAAGCAAATTGTATGTCAAGCATTTAGGATCCTAACAGCAGCTGGCTATATATTAGAATGTTTTACTATTTAAATTATGTTAAAAATAACAATAGATCTAACTGAGTCTATTGTTTATATCTAATCAGTGCCTCTTCTGACAATCTATTATTGTGAACCCTGCCTAATTACTTTAACAAACACCTATGAATAAGACGATATGGATCAAACTGGAAACGTGATTACTTTACCAGACTTCATCATCCAGACCTGGAGAAAGTTTATCAGAACTCTTAATCTTGATCATTTTTTAAAACAGAAATGGGTTTTGTGGCTCAGCGCTGCAAGGCTGTAACACAGTGAGAAGAATTTTAACTTTAAACAGATTTTTGTGCATAACAAAGGTCTTGGTAAATACTTTGGAGAAGCATAAACATAAAAACATGAGTTTGTGCTTCTTTGTGTCATTCTGTGAGCAGGACCGAAGGTGCAGAAGAGGCGAGCAGCTTATCTGAAGCACATCTGGGTCAAACTGATCTACCCAGCAGGCTGATAGCCAGACGTTATCAGACACCACAGGACGGCGTTCTGACCTCAGTTTGCTCATCCTGTAGCCTGCAGTTTGTTTACCAGGGATTAATGTCCTTACTGAATGGTAGCAAGTAGCAGATTTAGGTTGTCAAGGTTGATTTATTGTTTTAATTTTGAAAAGAAAGCCAATAATCACTAAGGATTCAGCTGAAAATGACTCACGTGGAACTGGACTGCAGAAAGTACCATTGCCCTCATATCCAGGTATGCACTGACAGCCGACATTGAACACACACCTGGCCTGGGCATGGCACTGCCGGCAATTCTCAGGGACTGAGCCTGGAAGCACACAGAAGATCACAACATGACTAAAACAAGACGTTACTTTTAATCAAGGCCACTTTTTATCTACTTATACAAGCAGTTAATAAATAATTCATATTTGATCTCATTTCTTATTATTGATTTATTGTAACTTCCTCAGTGATATTTAAGAAACATAATATTTCATCAACCCGGTGACAAATATTTGATTTTCCTGAAAAAGTGTGGAACGCCATGTAGATTTAAAATCAAAGCTGGATCGTTCTACATTAATGCACTCTTCACAGAGCGGCTGGCAAGATCATGTGGTAAGTCACCCATCCTGCAAACAGGAGGCCTGGGTTGAGCTTCCAGTGTGGGACCTTAGGCAAGACTCTTCATGCTAATGCCTGATTTGAGGAGTGGCGGCCTACTTGTTAAAGCAGGGGTTACCAATTAAAAATCGGCGGGGTCCAAATAAAGAAAATCATCAACCAGTAAAGGTCCGGATACATTTTTAAATATAATCTGTTACTTTAAACAGAATTTAACACTAAAATAAAATGAGGTTTTTATGCATCCATGTTATACATTGACTCTATAGATAAGAACAAATATAAAAAAAAATGGAACCTTTTTCCATTTTAAAATCTAAAGTGTTTTTTGAAGTAGAGAACAATCGTTCAATTA